TTAAATGTATTTGCTATCAATTTCAATAATGTTGCAATGAAATTAAATCTATCCTATGATGTATTCTCAAAGCAAACACATACTGATTTTTCTTCATATAAACAGTATCTAGCAGAATTGGTGTTGTAAAAGGAGTCACTTCTGAGGCACAGGGAACTTATTATATTCTTCCTAGATGTCTCTGTATGTACACAATAATCTGAACTCAATAATCTGAATTCAGTCTCAGTAGGCAGGCAATGAAGTAGCACTGAAGCCACTGCTCCACTGATAAGGAAATTACAGATCTTTGCATGCCAGGACAGCAGTGCTTTTACACCTCTTTCCAAAGAAGGCCACCCCACCTGCCAGGACACACCAGGGAGCAAGCAAACTATGCCAGCACAAACCAAGTGCGCCCTTACCAGCAGAGTGCAGAGCACATAAAGTGCTTGTGGAACTACTGAGGATACTAAATGCCTGCAGGAAAATGTGAGTGCATTTGAAATGGAGGCAGGTTGAGGAGGAGGGGAAAGGACAAGATCATCTATGTGGTCAGAGGTGCAAGAGAAGACACTTTTGTAGCTCCACTTGGAGAGCTTTGAGGTTCTTCATGCCAAATTCGGTGGGACCAAAATTATTCCTGGTCTTTTTAAAGATAAATTGGAATCTGAGAGACAATCCTAAAGATAAAATAGCTCCGTTAGACTAGCAAACTATAAATGAGGAAAATCAGGTTCTGAATGAATGAAAAGCTCCAGGTGCCCTACCATCAACACGGCAGATGAGTTATCCTTACTATCCACTGGCCCTGGGACAAATGGCAGAGGTGCTGGCAGATTCAAAGAAGTTCCAGACATGCATAACATACACCTTATCCTGTGGATTACTCTGGGCTAATCTTTTCATAAACCATTGCACTGGAGGAAAGTAATTGTTTAAAACAAAAATGGAGATCAAGAGGAGAAAACCCCTAGGACAAATTATTTGAAGTATTGCAGCACCCCACCGCATTCATTATATCATAGAGATCACAAACATTTGATGAAGCAACCAAAGGGACCAAAGCGTAAGACATTCACTTCACTATTAAATTTTAAAGCTTTAATTATAAAAATGTCTGATGAACTCTAATTGACACCTTTACCTTCATGATAATGAGAACAAGGAGCAAAGGGGTTGAAGATACTGAACTACTCTTTCATTCCTTTAGATCAGCCTTTTGAATAAAGGCAAAGGCACAAATCTTGTAATTAAGAGGGAATTTGAACTGCCAGTGTTTGACCTAGACAAACTAGGTTTGTCTCGTGCGTAAGCAGGGGCTTATAAGTTTGTTATGATGGACAGGACACACACTCACCAATGTCCATCTAGATTCATAATGTGGATACCTCTTCACACATCTGTGTCTCATTCTCTAGTCACAGGCTTTGAAAACTAGCTTTTTGTGGCTTGCCACCTGCCTCCTCTCATCCATGCAGGAAATCAGCTCACACTGTGGACTCAATGACAACTTCATGAAGAGAGCTGGCACATGGTCTATGGACTATTTGAAGCAGAAAAGAATCTCAGAGGATATACAGTCCTTGTACTGGTCCTCTGAATACACGCAACATCTATTCCCTTGTGAATACACTTGAGTGAATACTGAGAAATCTTCAAGGTAGGTGGAATTCAGGAATGTAGTAGCAGTTGTGGCAGGTGTGACCATAAGTCCTTCCTGCCAGAATCCTCTTTCTGACAGGGCCCAGATCTGGAACCTTAAGAAAGCAAATGAGAACATCAGCAACTTAGAGCTTTCTGAACCATTGGTGATATATTTTTATTTCTTAGTCCATGCATTTGTCCTGTGACTTTTGCAGCCTGCACAAACTTGTTAGGTACCAAACAACACTTCCCTCAGGCAGGCCTCATGTTACATAACTTCTTGAATGTCTAGTCTAAACCTTTTTTTCTATGTTTCCTCTATCAGCTGGGAGAAGCAGGGGAGTTTCCAGAGGGTAATTTCACTCATCCTAAGATTAGGTATCACAGACATCAGGAATAAACTGTCTCCTGGAGATGCTGTTTCTTCCTCCATTAACTTAAGAAGGAGCTTGGTGAATGCCTAGCTCCTGACAGCTATAGTTAGGTGACACAGATGCATTGCCAAAAGTATGCCTCTGGAATGCTAGCATATCATTGCTGTAAATGGCTGATCCATGAAATCTAGAAAATAGAGTTAAAAGGGACCTTAAGAGAGTCCCTTTGATTATACAGAGATTCTCTGGCCTCTGATCTGAGTGACCCCATTTCTCTTTAGAACAGATTTGGTTACTGGAATGACCTACTCACAGTATGTAGTTTCAGAATGGAGTCCAGGGCTGTGACAAAGGCGACTGAAATGAGCACAGTATTTGACAACCTACTTGACATTTCCAAGAGAATGCACTATCTAACAATAACAACAACAATAATAATAATAAAGTGTTTCGGGAAAGCTGAATCTGATTATGCAGTGAATCGCTAAACTAGAATCTGAACAGATTTCTTAAAGATGGGAGATAATTAGGCAAATGTTCAAGAAACAGACTCTCATAAGAATGTCAAATGTCACAATTATCCATTCACTTGATAAAACAAGTACTCTGTTGATTAAATTTTATTGCTCTCACTGCTTCCTGCTTGAAAGATTAAAACATCAGAATCAGTTCTAAGACACCAGATTTGTTAGGGGGGGGGGGGGAAGAGGGGTGTGCCGCTGTCAGCAGAAGTCCTCGGACAAATTCCAAGCCACTTTGGAGGGTCTGTAACATCCACTGCTTTTCGCAAGCCTTAGTTTTGCTGCCTGCATTGGTAGAAACCACAGTGTTTTTTTTTCATCAGTCTGTCTTTTGGAAATCTAATCCACCCAGCAGCAGCAGCTATTGAATGCATGCAGTCCTCACTGGCCATAAAAGCTGGCCACTCCAAAGAGCAGGATAAGGAAGACTTCACTAACAGTCTGCTTTTCAGTGGAACCAGCTTTAAGCAAACACACAAAAGTCATTACCATCTGTGCTCCAATCTGATTCACCAAAGCATTTCCACTGCAGGGTAACTTTTATGATGAGTCAGCAGAAACCTGGAGTGACACAGGAATTATTCCTGCCCTGGCTATTTAGAGCAACTCAGAGATGAGCTGTGTGTGCTATAGTAGGTCTGTTTATGTAAGAGGGGGATCTTGTGATTTATAGCTCATGACAAAATTTGGAAAGGCCAGCTGCTTTCAGTCTGTCCTACAGTACTGCTAGCTCCAATATGGAACTTCTCACCAGTTTTGGAAACCCCTCTGTTTCTACATAGGGCTATTGCCACATCCTGCTAATCATGTGTAGCAACAACAGCTACTGTCTCTGCCACCAAATCCAGATGCATCAACTCCAGTCTTCTGGCCTGCTTATTCAGTGTTGTCACTGAGCCATCCCCTGCCAATGTGGACGGGTGCTGCCATACTATATGGTCTCCTAGATTCTTGGCTCAGGCTCTTACTGGACTAGGAGCAACTTTAAGCTTATCAAGTGTCTTCTTACTCCATCTTTACAATGGAAAAGAAGAATGAGGACTGTGCAGCAATGCTGGCTCAATAGCAACAGCTGCAATGCTGATACCAGTGGGATGCCTGGAGAGATAAAGCAACTGTGAGGAAGGGGAGGGAGAAAGTAGGAGCTCCTTCGGTCACCAATTCTTTTGATACATATAGATGTACTGAAACAGGAGCTGAAGGATTCTCAGCCTGACATGTCAGCATTACAAAGTGTCCGCCAAAGGACAGTGAATACCATTATCTCTGTTCTGCTACATGTTTTGTCCTTTGCAGAACAATTTAAAAAGCCCTGAAGACTTGTGCCAGAGTTTTCAGAAATAGAAACCCAAAGTTAGATCTACATTTAGACACTGGCATCAAATGGTCAGTGATGGCTGCCTCATGCTCAGAAGCTTTCACAGTTAGCCCACCTGTGTCTCAACACAAACTTGGCTGCTCAGGTCTGCACTTCTATTTCTGAAACCCTTGTGTGGTGAACCCACTTCCATCACACACCAGATCCCAGCCCTGCCTGCTCATTAGCTTCTGACTCAGTATCCTGCCAACTAGCCTTATGTTCTGATGAGAGCCTGCTATCACCTTTCATTGTGATTTCAGTTGTTGGGCAGATTAACATTCAGAGGGCACAAAAAACTACATTTTGCTTCATTACTTTTAAACACAGTGAATTCTGAATTTCTCCTAACCTGTTCCTTGCTCTTTATTGCCTTGATATACTAAACCACAGTGTCCCAACCAAGACATATTTCTCTTACATTCAGCTTACTTCACCATGAAATGACTCAATTCAGCAAGACGGTTTGAAATATACACCAAAGGCAGTGTGAATCAGCACCCTTACCAAGTGTGGAAAAAGAAATGTAGTTCATAAACAGGGTAGAAAACATATTTAAAACAACTTCTAATGAACTCTAGAGACAGCAGAGCTTGAACCAGGTAACATACCCCTGACATCATCATCAGCTTTCAAAAAATCACATTGTCCATGGGTCATATATTTCACTGCATCTCTGAAGAAATGTTAAATCAATAAAATATCTAAAGGTTGCCAATGAATCAGTGTTCTATAAAAAGCCAACCATTATTGCTAAGGGGCAACATAAGAGCCGAAGAAATATTTGCAAGGAAAAGGCCATCCCTCCCACCAGAGCCCATTCATATTCAGTCATCTGACACATTCCAGCAGACACCACTGAGCAGTACCAGCAGCTAAAATTGCATGAGCCTGCTCGGTTTGCTTCAGCAGCTTTCCTTGATAATGTAGGATATCCTGCACACTGTCAGTTTGATTTTTTGAGTGCTTCGCCTCCCTGAGCCTGTTTTTTAGCAACATAATGAAGACTCAAGCTTGCATTGGCAACACAGTCACCAAATAACGCTTGTGGTACATCAGTACCCTTTTTCCAGATTGCACATTCTATATTCAGCCTTCAAAAGGCCACAAAATTATTCTTACCTTGTAATTGTGAAATCAAAACTGGATACTTCTTAACAACCCACAGTAGATCTTTGGCTTAGTCGTTTATGTATGTACCACAGGGATGCAATCTTCTTGCTGAGGAAAATACACAGAGGAGAATAAAATGCTCGGTGAAAACAAGCTTTGATATTACACTGTGAATCCAGAAACTTAGACTATTGGTGTCACAAAAGACTTTTGTTTCTTATTTCCTTCATATGCTGACATCCATCTTACTAGACACAGTAAGAGTGGAGTCTTTAGAAAATCAGAGTATCATACTCATCTGTCTCAGTTTTCACGGTAGAAAAATGTGTGTCTATTTCTTTAACTCCCACAAAATACTTTGATCTTTTTAGGCTAGCAATTTTAAAAGAGGTCAAAGCAGTCTAAACCAATCCAGTGTTGATAGGGAAGCTAAGCAGTACTGGAAAATTATCTTAATTTCTTGCAAAAGCTGCCACTAGAACCTGTGTCTCCCGATGTTAACATTATACAAAGCTCTCTCTTTTCAGTCACAGTAGCACACAACACTGCAGTAGTTTCAGAAAATAGTAATTAGTTCCAGAAGAAGTGTAGATTACATATATTATGTCTTGGCAACACAGTTCTCTATCCTGATTTTCTCTTGCTAAAAATACAAATTGTTCACAACCATGCTTTCAATATCCACTTACTATTTGCAAACAAGGTGTCTTCAAGAAAAAGGGGTTTTGCTAGGCTTCGTTGAGAACTGTGTTACCTACAGCATCACAGCCCTTTGAAGATATATCCTCCCACAGTTGTCACCAACACAGGCACAAAAAAGGGGTCTTATTCTCCTAACAGTCACTCTCCTGCAAGCTTCAAGGTTTAAAAAAGCCAATCTTACCTACTTTTCATTACTCACCTCAGAGAACTTGCCAGTTCAGGGTCATGTCAGATAGCTTTTAGGCTTTATACTTGTCTTATTTAAAAGTGATGTTTGAGTTTTACTCAAATCTTTGCCTTTCTCTCCCTACACGCTTCCATGCTGGATTCAATTCTAATAACCACTTATTTAGAGATATAGGCACTTAGCAATGCCAAAGACAACGCTTTTGAGCAGGTGACTTTGTGGGTGATCAAATGATCACCAGCCAAATGTACATCAAAATCGTTCTCATTAGTCTATACAAACACAGCCTAGAAAGACTTATGGATTCCAAAATATTTACCACCAACAAAATATTTGTTGTATTTCAATATTGTGTCTGCTGGCAGGTGTTTATTAAAAGCATACTTTCTCCTACTGGTTCTGTAGAACACTAGAACACTTAATTACAATACATCAGGTTTTTCTCTTTCCTCTGATAAACCCACTTAATCCACACAATTTATGGGTTACAAATCTTCTCAATTTCTTCATACCTTTTCTAAATTAGACTTTGAGATACTGGGCAGTGAAAAGCAATGTCAGTCAACATACTGCTAATGTCTTTCCCTGTAAAAACATCAGACATTTCCACTTAGCATTGCAGAGATTTTTATCCCTGATTCCAGTTGTATTCTACCATTTTCCTGAGTATTTATTTTATAATAACTTTTAACAAGTTTCTCAAAAGCAGTCATCCTTTTAGCCCTAATATATATTTAAAAAAAAATAAAAATCATCTGCTACACAGTACTTTTTTGTCATTATACTGTACCCCTTTTGTACTACACTGATTCCTTGTTCATACTCAAACCTGACTTCAGCAGTGTAAGTGGGAGGGATGATGAGCCAAATTCAGTCCATGCATCTTTTCAACCACAGGGAAATTAAACCTAAAATTAATTAGGCCTAAGTAAGTAAAGTTGTACTGCAGGAATGACAAAGCAGAGCATCTTGAATACTAAGCGTGTTGCTTAGGAGCAAACATTTACAAAAGATCAACAAATATGCAGAATTATTTTTCTTTTCACAAATTCTGATTTCCAGAATGCCATTAATAACACCAACTCACTATATTTAACAAAGGTAGGAGTTCTTGTCGGATCCTCATCAAATGTAATGTTATATCCTTCACCCATCACAGTCACCAGTATTAACACAATACCATAGTCCCACAAAATAACTGCAGATTAGTTTCAACATGTAGCCTTGTTCAACATTTAACAGGCTCTAAAATGAGCATAAATTGTACATGGAGCAGACTTTTCTCCTAAATTTCTGTTGAGCACATCTTGTGGTTTTTATTGCGATAGAAGGAGAAAGCTATGGGGAACACCTTAAAAGCTGTATTTTAGATGAGCAATGTCAATATGCACAAGCTTCTAACATCAGGGTGAATCTTGCCACTGATTTTTTCTAAAGCTGCTAGGCAAGCCCTAAAAAGTAGGCTGAATGTATTCCCATTTCTTCCCTGTGAGTCCTGATAATGCTGGGCACAGCATGACTCCTCCTGTTCGATGTTAAATGGAGGCTGAGAAAAGCAGCTGGCCCTTTGTTACTGGGATGGATGCTGAGGGTACTACAGGGAAAAGACAGTTAAAGATCTAACTAAATCAACATTTCTGCAGTAAAAGAAAAAAATGAGACCATGATAAAATGTGTGCAACTTTTATAGCACTGTGTTTCTTTTGGATATGATATTGTAGAGGCATCACCTCTCTGCCTGAAGTGTGTCAAATCTAGAGCATATAGGTTTTGAAACAAACTGACAATTAAAAAAGATATTTGAATGGTGAAATCTTTAAACAGTTGATGGCTACTCCTACATGACCTTTTCGGATGAAATATTATGGCACATCTCTCCATCTTTTTCTCCCCATACTATTCAAAATTTTAAAATTGTCTCTAATTATTATTTGAATCTTAGCTAGGAATATAAAGGCTGCTTTAGAGTGCTTCTCAGTAGGGGTAAGTTAAGGTAATTCTATTACATTTTTTAGGCTGAGGTTTGCTTTCTATTTCCAGAAGAATGCTGCTCTAGCAGTTGATGACTTGGAAACCTGCTCTGGTATCAGGATCAAGGAGAATAACACTAGGCAGAGTTCACAATTGCCAACTGCCAAGGACAGTCAAAATTTGTACCATACTCCAGGAATGAACTGCCTGACCTCATGCTGTGTTATTGGATTGGCCGCAGGAGGGCCTGGCTACCACTGGACTCTCACATTAGATCTTTCTGATAGGAGCATAGAGAATTAAGTGCTTCAGTACATTCAGTCAAGCAAGGTCAGAAAGAGGAAAATTAATGTCACGTTACACTTGGTCTTCTCTGCTAAACACAGCTCGGTGTCAGTCAGGTTCAATTTCAAATCAAGTTTTGTCAGTAGCGCTCAGGTCCAACCACTGTTGTCTGATTAATTTTGCTTATTATTTGACACCTATCAGTTATGGTAGAGCTTGCTGGAAGCCTCTGGCCACTGTGGCATAGAATAATGACTGTAATTTTCCAATTTCATATTAAATCTCAGCGGAAAACAGCTGTTCCTTGAGCCTATAACTTGCTGTGAATGTCTCCTTCTGCTGTTATTTGTCTCAGTAGCTGTATTATTTAACTTTGCGAATACAGTTTATCTGGAGAACACTATTAAGTGCAAATCGAAGTGGTACTCTTCAATCAGATTTCACTGATTGCTTTGAAAAGGTTCTAAAAATTCTCACTTGATGCTTCCCATGCAGTCATTCTTTACAAATCTGTTCCATAACATGACATGGAAGGAATTTTAGGCCCCAGCCCTTCTACTTTCTGACACTGGCAGCTTCTGAAAATCTTTCAGTTCAAAGAATAGACAGCAGTTTGTCATCTTTGTAATGATGAGTTTTTAAAAGGTGTAGGTAGTGCAAGAAGTTACATGTACCTTTTCTGCATCACTGCATCTTTCCAATTAAGAAAGAATCCCTGTTGCCGCAGGCTTGGCTGGCCAGATAATGGACTGTAGTGAGATATGTCCTGAGCTGAATACTGCAACACGGACAAAATAAATTCTGGGAGAAAATTGAACATGAAAAGTAAAATTAAGTGAAATAATTGTAATGCAACTATGTAATTCACTTCTAAATTGTGGGGAAAATGAGCAAAATGTTAATCTTTTAATATTTAATAGGCCAAATTAATCCCTAATTTTTATAGTGTGTTAGAATCTAATAGAAAATTGAATAAAATCTTGTGAAGACCATTTGATCAAGCTGCAGAACTTGGCTGAAAATTCTATCCTTCTACACAATACTACAGGATTTATTTTTTTTCTAGAGTATAAAAAGAATACATTTTATAAATACATTCTACCATTGCAAGGGTTTAATATTTAGGGAATTCCCTAAAGTCCAGTCCATTCCTGCCTGGTTGAGACAGGATCCCTCTTTTGAACCCTGACTGCTGGGTACACACAACTAATTCTGCCCTTACTATTCTTCAGATACCTGGTCAATTTAAATTCAAAAATTCCTGATCCCAGAACTGTCACTGTATGTATTTACAGTAACCAGTCTACTGTTGTGCTCATTGTGACTTGATCTCTACTTGATCTTTACTTAATCTTCAGCAGGAAAAATAAATAGGAGAAATACGGAAAATTGACTTCGGTTGCATTTTACTTCAGCAGTGTGTGTGCATGTTGAGTAACTAGACTGAAGAGCAGGCCTTGGGCAAGGAGACACTGTTCACATGCAGTGTAACTGACCCAGAACAATCTCAAATACCCCCCTTAACCAGCATATCCCGCAGCTGTGCCACAGAAAGGCAGGGTACCAAAAAATTCTGTTAAGTTTTCAAGCTGAACTAGTTCAAATTGCAATACACTCTCAGGATACCAGATTAAAGCACCTTCTGATTCACCATTGTGATCAGTAGCTTCTCTGATATATAGCTAGACACAGATTTAAAGATTTTAAAAGGAGCAAAGGGTCTTACTTAAACATTCTTTTCGGGAAGGAAAAATGCAAATGAATGAGTCATGGCTTCAATTAACATCAAGTGCACTGTAATGACCAGCTTCATTCTGTCTGATTCATCATTTAAAGCTACATGTACTACTCCAGAATTAATAACTAGGGATTCACTAGTGCAGTCATTCAACTTGCAGTGTTCCTGTGCTGGTTTAGGACATAAAAGCAGTCCACAACTGTTGTGACACACAAAGAGTCAGGG